GGGAAATGAGCTTTTGAAAACCGTCTTTATCATTCATATGAGAATAAGGTTGTGCGAAATACTCGATGTCAGTGTTCATGTAAATAGGTTCACTAGGTTTAATGAATTACGATGAAACTGTGCGGACTTGACCACTCTTGTCGTACAGAATTTAGTAAAATTAGATAGGAAGTCTAGCTGTTTAAATCATCAAGAAAGCTGTCTTTTTAAGTACATGGTTTAAAGACTACTATGAAGAGGTGATGGGGCATCGATAGGAGAAAGCTTCCGTGGCTGAAAACATGCAGGGAAGAGATGTGCGGTAGGCAGTTTAGGTGACTGTATTGATAAGCATTCTTTAACAGATATCTTCGGAATTTTCTCTTTCTCGAAAGGACCACACAACGGATGTTTTGGAATCAGTACTATTCGGAACACATATATAAAGTCACCAAGAAGCTTGATACACGCAACTGAGTAATATTTGGAGTTGAAAGGTTCGCCAGTATATGTTTGACAGCGTGGATCACATGGAGGCGTTAGTGATTTCTGTCGTGAATGCTTGAGAAGCCTATCATATCACTGGCAATTGATGTAAAAATAACAATTAATTCAGCCTTGGCGCTTTTTCAGTGCATTGCTGCCGTGCGCCTTGAAAGAAGCATAAGCTGAGGTATTGTCAGGTTGCCCAGTCATAGACAGGAGCAATAAAAACAAGTTTTGATCCGAAATACGTTCAGCAGCTTTGTACATGAGCTGGTGGACCACCATAAGCGGGAAACGCTTAGCAAACTTGCAGTCCGAGACTGAGAAGTAGTGTCGGCCTTCCAAATGAGCCAGCATGAAGAGCCCCTTGAGTCGATTAGCGGTTGAGGCGGCTTGGTGACAGTAATATGTCATTAAATTTCGCTACATTAGAATTCCCGGGTCGTTTTCACAGGATTTTGGTTGCGGCGAACTGGAGCACTTTAAATAGAGAGTGGTCCCGTAGATCATGGCTGGAGAAAGTGGTATCTGGTGAGTTGAGGAGGAGCTGGCTGACGGCCGCGTGCGCGATAAGCTGTTCTTCGCAGTCAAGATTCACGTTATCGACAGTGAGAAAGAAGTCCAAAGGTTGCTAATGAAGACCAGAAGCGTAAAGAATCCGAAGGCGGAGCCTTAACGTGCTCCCAGTGGCGTTGGATTGGTGCTGAGCAGCGCTGTTCTTACGGTAGCGTTGAAAGTTCCTTTTCCAAAACTGTACAACACACTGTTTGTTATAATTTCTGGAAGCTAATTTGACTACATATCCGGCAAAGGGCGGTAAAATATCTAAATAGGTGATCGTCAACAATGAACTGGTTAAACAAGATCGTATGTTTGGAACCACGCAAGGTCTAAGTTAAGGTAAGTAGGTCTGCAGCTTGTCCATTAAACCAGACTTTGTAGCCCTGGAAAGGATATAATGGTTACTTGCCAGTAGACAAAGCCGGCCCATTCACGAACTTTGTAGATGGGTGTGGAGACATGGGGAACCGCTGGTCAAAGACTTAGCGGAAGTACAGTAACGGTAGGCATGCGAATCCCTTGGCCACAAAGCCGGGTGCCGTCAATATCAACTGTATTAATTTCAACAAATTCCACCTACTGGTGAAAATAGAGCATAGCTGCGATGATATTTTGCCCAAATAAAGCTATGGACGCCAAAATTAGTGTAAAAGTGGACACAGCTGGCTGTGTGTTTGGCTAATGGCGTTTTTCTGTCCTTTTTGGTGCTTGCGTGCAAACTGTATTCGTTTAAAGTAAAAGATGCCTTCACGGACTTTCTCCAGACCTTGGGATGCTATTATTCGTGTTTTTAGGCTGCCTGTCAATCAGAAGAATAATTAGGGGTGTCACTAAGTCCGAACCACTATGGCGCAGTCGTTCATGAGGCCAGCATAATCGTATCAAATGTAATGATATGGGTCAGCTTACCAAGTACTCGAAGTTTCATAACGTTTGTTCATCCATTGCCAAGTTCTACTCCGAATAACGTTTTTGAGGCTAGTTAGAAGGCCCACCATTCTGGTATTTGGCGCTGTATTGGTCAGTGGTGCCAACATTTGGACTAAGATTTTCCATGCGCTATAACTTACATGTACCTCTAGGCACTTGCCATAGCTAACTCATATGGCACGAGATAATACAATGGACTAAATAAGAATTAATTGCTTTACTCGAGGCGTTGCAACTATGGGACAGCGTAGCATAAAGGTTAATTTATGCACCATAGAAATATTGTGATTTCAGTTGGTAAGGTACTTATCAGAAAAGGCTATTTTGGATTAAAGTTCGGACTGATGAGGGGAATAAACTCGGAGATCTGCGTCAGCTATGTTGCACTCTAGGGTCGGACGAGGCAGCAGTTGTTTATTGGAATTGCGAGGAATTCTAGGACATACCTACCCTAATTATGGCCTGTGGTCCAGGGACTGTCAAACAAAGGTGAGTCAAGTGAGTGCTTACATCCACTAGACTTTGGTGCCGCGATAACGCTATCAGATCGACCATTCTATAGATTCGCTGGTGTAAAAAATGAAAAGAACATCTTTGTTGCCTTTAGTATTCGGATAATTAGAGTCCTGCATTTTTTGTAGCAGTTGTCTAGCTGAAGGATGATTTCAAGGCCGAAAGCCTCCACTCATTTTAAAACCGGGAGAGAAAAATTATGTACTAATCAGTGCAGTGGTATTCAGTGGCAGGTAAACAAGGCCTGGGACAGAGATTACTGCAACGGATTTTCGAATCTCTGGAAAAATCTAAATGCAAACAATATAAACTGTTCCACTGCAACACCCTTCCGGTGTCCGGCTATTGTGACAAAAGAAGCGCAAACGCTGAGATACTGCCAGGGTAACCAAGCCTCGGCAAGTGCAGTTGATATGTCCGTTACGGTTCGGTCACGCAGCGAGCAAACAATATGATATGCGGATTGTGGCAATATTCCATCCCCAGCTATGTTGCTTGAGCCAGACTCCTAGCACGGCGGATAGTAAGAAGACGAAAACCCCGGACACATACTTTAATGATCCAAAAACACGCGATCAACAGGCGATGCTCCGGGCTTCCGAACCTAAGTCAGTAAAAAGATGGTGTCGTGTAAGGAAGTGGTCGGATTTAAATTTTTTGGAATATCAATAGGCCATTGATTTATTCATAGTTTGACTTTGAAGATGCCGGAAGTTTGCTAGCACACATAAAAATACAGTTTTTTTGGGGATATTGATATCCCCAACAATGTCCGGGCTGGGTTCGAACCCGGGACCCTCCGGTGAGTGGGTTTGCACGTTGACCATGAGCTATTTCGAACTTCTGGGAACATTCTGGACGCCAGTCAGTGTACAATCTAGTTGTGCGCTCACCCTTTTTCACACAAGGCCTATGTCACTGCCTTGCATTTCGCGGCCGGTAAAATGGCTAATGGCAATGACCGTCGGAGGTTTCCTACCATTCCGTAGTCTTCCCCCAACGCCATGGAAATAATTCGTAATTCTAAGACCATTGTATAAAATTTCGTCTAAGTTACAAGAGTTAAATCGTGTATGTTATTCAGAGTAATCCGATGTGATAGATTGTCTTCACTCCTCAAACAAGAGGATCGAACCTTTTAGCTACGAACAAATCTAGCACATTTTCCTCTAGCTTTGGAGTTGATCACTCCACACAGCCGCTGGACGGTCAATTTACATGGAACCTGCGGGTTACAACCCCTCATAAAGTTATCTGTCCAGCAAATTACGCGCAGCATAAGCTTATCTTTCTGTATACATATCCTCATGAATCTGTATAGGATTGTTCATGCGTGTGCTATTCAAGCCATCAAACATGATTGAGCTGTTTTTTGGAGGCTCGTCAATTATTCCATACGAACCCGATCTTTTGATTACAGCTGAATCTCACTACAGCATAGTCAATAAACAGTTTGATACGACAAAAATTAAGTAACCGCGAATGAAGAGACAAATCGTTTTGAAAACTGACAAACAGGGGACCGACAACTCACTAGGATATACTCAGCTGAGGCGTGATGTGAAAAAACACAGAAGGATCAGCGACGCACGTAAGCCACCCGAAGAACGTCAACAAGAAGTACGAAACCAACGGCCGAAAACTGTTGGCGAAATCTATGTGAGCACTTGAAAGGCTATCAAGGTCGACCAGCCTAGTGCAGCTACTTAAAGTAATTAAAACAAGAGGGCTGATAGGTGTAATTGTTGTATAAGTGTGGGAAGTCGAGCGTTTGTGGACTTCGACCGAAAAATATTTTCCAAGGCCAGAAGTTCTGAGGGAGAATCCGAAACCAAGGCAAACAGCCGTCTGGGAGATTTACCAAACTTCGACGGCTGAAGCCTTTGCGTGTTCAACACCATCAGTTAGTCCCGACCAAATTCAGTTTCAGTTCAAAAGCACTCCGGTTTACGTCTCTTCGAGCAAGTGTGTGAGATTTCAAGGATACCAACACTTAGGTGTTCGAATTGTGGCAGTAGAATTGGCAGTCTCTCGAAGACCGCCTCGTTCACTCACTGCGCTGTAGGTCGTTATATCGCTTGGTGAGGAGTAGACAGATCGTTAACCCTAGTTACGGGATTATCCTACGGCCACTTCTAGTTTCTGCCGCCTTTCATACTAACTATCCAATGGAGCCGGGCTCAAGGTTGAACGTTAAACGACATTTCATCTGTGCTATTATCAAATGAGTGGTATTAATTCATTCGAGTATTCCGCGACAATAGCATAACCACGTTTGCCCGATTCGCAGACGGATACTGCCGTCGAAATTGCTGACAGCATCTACGCTACTGCATTCGATCACTGCCTTTTAGGTCCGACCTCTTCGCCTCCGTTGCTACGTAAGACCCTTATCAAACCTGAACAATGAATCTATAGTAGACGCGCGGTTATTTTTGATGCTTTCGGCCTCACAACCGGGTACGATGAAGCCGTATCCAGTGCTAGAAAGGCCAATGTTCAACCATGAGTGATGCCCCTAGTGTTCTCACCTGGATAGGCTGATTCTGGATACTCCGGTGCGACAGCCCCAAAGCGCTTCATGCACATCCGGGTGATATTCACTCGTCTGAAATGCTCCGGGATCCCTAAAAACTAGCTTTGTTATGATAACAATAATGTTTGTTCCCAACTTGTGGGTGGCATACCGTCTAGAATGACCATACGTCGGCAGTCAAAATGAAACATAACTGGGGGGTTTGCGGGTAGTGGGGATTGCGCGAAAAGAGCAAAATGTCATAAATGGTGGGAAGTATTCAATGGAATAATAATAGGTTTTTTCCAGCTTGTAGGGAACGATGGGCATGAGGTCCGACTAGTTCAAAGACTTGGGCGGCTAACACGGACTAAAAGTGAAAAACATGAGTGACCTTGGGCGGTTAGGTAAAGGCCGGAGCCACAGCGAGCAAAAGTGGAGATGGAGATGGAATAATTCGAATTGGGAGAACATGGCCAGTTTTGTCTCAAAAAATGGTGTAATCTGAAACTAAGCAGGCTCACTGGTTGCACGGTTGCAGGGAAGTCAGGTGGAAGGGATAGGTTGGATGGGGGCATGGTGCAAATGCATATAGCCAAACGAACACTGTATACAGATTTGAACTTGTGGTGTGGCGTTTTGTACCTCTGTTTTACTTCCATTATAACACTACGTATTTCATCAATTGCATAATCGTTTCTTGTTTGAATACGAAAAACCACAAAAACGCGCACTTGTACAATTTCACACAATACAAGCGTGGTCACGTGCTTCGACTCTCTCTTCTGATTTCGCTCGCGCTCGCAGCGGTCATTCGCGAGTCTCATGTACTAACTCTGGTACCAAAACATTTCAGACATCTTCGGAATCTATTATATGTGGGAACTGTTCAGAAGAAGACCTCTGGACCAACATAATTGGATTATTGTTCATTCGCTGACCTGGGCCAACGACGAACTATTTTAGAGAGAACAATTGTTAGTGAGCCTGTTCCATCTGACACCCAACCTAGCGTAATTATTTTTATTTCTTTGCCACACACTCCTGGTACACTAACTTGTTGTTTAGCCAGACCTTTACAGTGGAAAGAGCAAGCCAAAACTGCAGCAGAAAACCAGGCTTGCCAAGTTTGAGCCAAAGTTCATAGGGTACGAAAGATCCCGTCTTACAGGCGTTTGATTTTAGTTTTTTGTAGTTAATGAAACGAGTGGGCAACGGGGCACGTTCGAGTGTAGGAATGGAATTGTTGAGGATGTGCTATCAAACTGGGTGTAGCAGCGCCTTGCCATCCTTGGCCGGACATACTTCGGTTGTCCACCCCGTTGGGTATCCGGGACTCAACATAAACTCCATTTGATGGTTAGGAAATAAACAATCTGTAGAAAGTGATCAATTACTGACACTCTAGGTTGTTCTGCACTCGGGGATTGCAACAGGTTTTGCGAGTTCAGTATCATTGCCTTCCGGTTGAGAAGCGAGAGGATCATAGATAACTTTGGGGTGTGATTGATTTTGGTGAGAGTTTATTTTTTTGCTCGAAAAGAAGAAAACAGCAACGGAGCTTACTATTTTTAACAGCAAACCCAAACAGGTTTGTTCGCTCATGCGCTCGTGAGGGCTCTGTTATCACAGCAGTTTATCGGGATGGGCAGCTTATACGTGGCATGTAGACGGGATATAGTAAAGAAGTATCCAGTGTACTCGGCTCTTGGCCTTACTCGGCCCTCATTAGGTTGAATTTAGTATTCGGCACAGGGGAGGGGATTGTCAGCAGCTGCGGTTATTCAGCCGGTGAATTAGGTACTCAAACAACACGTTTCTCTCCATGAATGGCTCTGGTTGTCATTGAGCCTGTTGAATGCTACGACTAATAAGCTTTGATTTTCGCAACGACTATTCATCATGGTTTAAAGCAGACACCTTCCTACAGCATGCGTAAGTCAATAAACCTTACAAACCCCAAACCAAATTCCTGTCATTCACGTTCCTCGTCAGACTACAGCCATGTCCTCGTCACTATTGCTGCACCAGTTGTCGAGTTTAAAGTTCAGTGCCAGTCGTGCCAGCATCAGAGTGACCCAATATTCTTCAAGACCTGGCAGTCGTGCTGTATTTTCTCTATATTTAGGTGGCAAATATTTGCAACCGGCGCCAGTGATGCCACCTCGTCTTACTATACGAGTGCGGCGTTATCGTATATGGGTTGTGAAAAATTTTAACTAGGATATACAAACCAAAATTGTCAATCTCAAAAGTCAAATATTAGCAACAGAGCGCGCAAATTTCTGTTAGAATTCAACCCCAAAATTCAAAGCTGACGGCCGAAATAACGCACTGTTTTGATTGAAAACTAAGAATTTCTCAGCACATTTTAGATATCAAAAAGAGCTTGGGAAGTGACAGGTTTTGTGCATACGATAACCTAATCCGTCCTTCTATGAAAAGCACTATGGTAATGCTAAATAGGGGACAGAATGCGGGCAGATTAGTCTCCACAACGGACTGCTAAAGTTGATGTCTCTTAGCCCTCCAATATAGGCGGCGAATGCATAAGTATATTGAGGGATGATCTAAAAATTTAAAATGCTCCACAAATTCCGCAAGACTTGTGCACTAGCTGAAAAAAGCTTGGTGTTACGGGAGAGGTTTCGAAGCCCATATGTCCAGTCCGCAGAGGAGGCATGGTGGCATGAATTCGAACGTTTTGTTTTAGAGATGAGGGGTTATTGCGGCATTCCGCTTCTTAGTTTCTGCCAAGCAATAAGCAAAAGCAAAATCTTAAGACCTGTGTTGTAACTTCCTTAGTTTCCGCTCTTTCCGTAGAGCTGCCACCAATCTTTTATTGGATAAGTCCTCACTTGGTTGGTCTTTTAATAGCTGTATCCGTAGAGGCTCACTTGACAACTTTTCTATAAAATACTCTACTCATCAATCTAAGTCTTGCCATATTTCAAGTTAAAAAGTTGCCTCCGTCTTGCACACATTCTTATCTTGAGGTACACTGCAAAAGATGCCTGGGGTATTCAACAGATTGACCCACGCTGTCGCAAGTTAAGCAAGTACCATCCTTCAATCATACTGGGCTTCCTAACGAGCTTATTGAACTGTCCCGTCCGGATTTCTACCGTCATCCTCTTTCATATATTTAGCTGAGTGCGTAGTTTTATTTGTGAGTCATCTGCAACATAAGTCCGGCTGCCTATATTTAATTGTCTTGTGACGTATTATGATGAGGATGTTTATTCCCCACTGGTGTGTGGCATTATGCATGC